CACCCACCCCAAGACATTTACTTTGTCTCAGTGAGCTACCCTGAAATTGGGTGAGCACAGAATGACTCCAAAATCTAAGAAGGAGAAAGATGATGGCCGGACAGGTTTTTAATTAAGTTTCCACGCTATAAAATGCTTTATTTGGTGCACAGCTCATAGTTTAAAAACATTTTCAAATATTTCACAGGTTAGTAACTGACAAATGTCTCTACCTACAATGACTTTCAGAGAGCAGAGACGTAATACAACTTTACTGACTTCTACAGGTTGCCATTTGCCCAGCATGTGTGATTTTTCACAAGCAAATACTCATCACACACAAAACTCCCACCAATTTCAACAGAAATTACATCAGCCTCATTCTGAATTTACACGGGCTTAAAGAGAAAGCAGAAGGTTTTTCAGGCACATGCATTTAACATGCCCAGTAGTCTTTGGCCTAGTGGCTCTCAAGATAGATCCATGAGTTCCTCCAACCTTGCTTGTGACCACAGGAAATTGCTGCTTCTGCAAGCCCATCTGACACAGAGGGCAAACAATGTCCAGAAGTACATAGCTTTTTCAGTATTGGCCACCAAAGATTGGCAAGAGTTGCTTTAATACATTTATGCAAAAGAGATTTAAGCAAGCTATTTTTTAGCAAAATTCTAGTTATTGTTTCCAGCCAATATAAGCAAAGAATCATGTCTAAGCCTTCTTCTGCCAACAGCATACAAAAATACAGTTAGAAAGGTACAAGCAAAGATAGGGAATTTTTAATTAAGTTCCCAACTACCATATAGAGCACAGTAAACATCTGAGTTCTTGATTTCATACTCTCTGTTCACCTCAATCATATATTCTTTCTTTTTTATATATTTCCCCTTATGGCCCCTGGCACAGACAAGACATCAGGCTAGAAAGTCCTTTGGGTGATGCAGAAGAGGCATCTAATACTCCTTGGCATACTTGTTATTATACATAGTTGTACTTCCACAGCAGGTAAGGTGCTTTACACACAGTAAGTATTACTCAACTGTTTCTAATGGGAGAACAGAGATAGTAAAGCTACTTCCACATCTGATACCTCAAGCTAAGTCAGATGTTTGAGTTGCATGCTATACTCCAAGGCCCTGAACTACCTACCATTCAGTAGGAGTTGTCTCCATTCCAGAACAGGGCCAATGCTTACAACCAGGTTTGTTTGGCAGGTTCCATTAATATTTGTAAATCTCTTTAATGTTCTACTAAGAGAATGTTTCTTCTTCTATGTTTCTCCAATAGACCAAATGATGGTATCACAATCTGTAATTGTAATTATATTCATAAAGTCTCCTTTCCTTCCTCTATGCTTAGAGAATGTAGTTACTCACACAAGCAGCCTTCCTGAATTTACATGGGAACTCAAGAGAAACTTGGGTTTTGAATAAGAAATAAAAAAACAGAGAACGCATTTACAAAGCTCCAGTGCCCTAGAGAACAGGACCATACTCCGATATAAGGAAGTAGGTGACACATTAATTTCTACTCCCTCACAACGCAACAGTTTGCACTACAAAATAAACTATGAATATGAAGAGGATCCTGTCATGTTGGTTGGCAACCCCCTTTCAGAAGTTTCAGGCATTAACAGCAAAAACTTTACTTACTCTAGCAAGTCATCTTCTTTCTGGAGTATTCATACATTACCTTGGATAAGACACAATTGTACATCCATCTCACTGTACAAAATGTTGGCACAAAGCCATTACTACAGACAAAGCACATCAGAATATGCTCAGTAGTCCTTGAAAGATTTCACAAACATATCTTTGCTGAGGAAGATTGATCAATAAAATAATTTCAGACCACACAAGATTGTTGCCATCTATATTAAAAAGTTAACTTTGCTTCAGATCATTTCAAGCCATAAAACACAGTGGGTAACTTGGGGCAATCTTTCTGACAGTGGCCGCACAGTTTCACCAGTTAAAGCACTAAGGTTGCTAAAGGAATTTTATTTACTGGCAATACACCCAAACCAAGGTTTCACTACACACATACACAGGCTTATGATCAAATAATAATCTGAATCATAATATGCTATTTGCTTTCAGCTTACAAGGTCAAAAATTGGAAATTATTTATTCTATGGCCTGTGGGAAAATACAGAAAGAATAGTAAATGACTTTTGTATCAGTGACAAATGTCTGTTTTGATAACAAGCAACCAGTCTGAGTTAAAGTACACTTGGACCTCGACAAATATGGACACCTCTCTCCCCCTCTTTCAACGCTCCCTTGGGCACCTTTCTAGATTTAATTACATAAATGGGTGAAGTTGCAAAATTAATGTACTGAAAGCTGTTAAGTTGTCAGAATCTATAAGCTTAACATTGAATAGCTTGAAAGCTTAACTTTGATGGGTGGACTGTTCGGTGGATGAGGAATTGGTTGGATGGTCACATCCAGAGGGTAGTGGTCAATGGCTCAATGTCCAGATGGAGATCGGTGACGAGTGGTGTCCCTTAGGAGTCCATATTGGGACCAGTACTCTTTAATATCTTTATCAGTGACACAGTGGGATCAAGTGCACCCTCAGCAAGTTTGCAGAAGATACCAAGCTGAGTGGTGTGGCTGACATGCCTGAGGGACAGGATGCCATCCAGAGGGACCTGGACAAGCTTGAGGAATGGGCCCATGTGAACCTTATGAGGTTCAACAAAGCCAAGTGCAAGGTCCTGCACTTGCACTGGTGCAACCCCAGGCATCAGTACAGGCTGGGGGATGAAGGGATTGAGAGCAGCCCTGCTGAGAAGGACTTGGGGGTGTTGGTGGATGAAAAGCTGAACATGAGCTGGCAATGTGCGCTTGCAGCCCAGTAGCCCAACCGTATCCTGGGCTGCAACAAAAGCAGCATGGCAAGCAGGTCGAGGGAGGTAATTCTGCCCCTCCACTCCACTCTGGTGAGATGCCCATCTGGAGTACTGCGTCCAGCTCTGGAGCCCTCAGCACAGGAAAGACATGGACCTGTTGGAAAGGGTCCAGAGGAAGGCCACAAACATGATCAGAGGGATGGAACACTTCTCCTAGGAGGACAGGTGAGAGAGTTGGGGTTGTTCAGCCTGGAGAAGAGAAGGCTCCAGGGAGACCTGACTGCAGTCTTCCATTACTTAATGATGGCTTATAAGAAAGATGGAAACAGACTTTTTCGCAGGACAGTGATAGAACAAGGGGTAATGGTTTTAAACTAAAAGAGGGCAGATGTAGACTATATCCAAGGAAGAAATTTTTTTACAATGAGTGTCATGAAACCCTGGCACAGGTTGCCCAGAGAGGTGGTAGATGCCCCATCCCTGGAAACATTCAAGATCAGGTTGGATGGCACTCTGAGCAACCTTATCTAGTGGAAGATGTCCCTGCTCACTAAATGAGCGGAGTAGATGATCTTAAAAGGTCCTTTCCAACCCAACAATTCTATGATTCTATATCCTAAATATTAGAAAAATTTTTTTGCAGCTAAATCTATAATACCCATGAATTTTGCATCTCTGCAATAAAAAAGAAATCTTTACAGACAGATTGGCTTTAGTCACAATACCATGAGTTAGGAATTGAATCTGAACTCATTCACAGAATAAATTCTTTTTTCCTAGATAAACACTTCTGATATTACTACTGCAGTAATGGGAAGTACCTTTTTTTCTCCACATACTAAACTAAGTTATATAGCATATAGCTCTAAACAGCAGGCTATAGATTTCATACATAAACAGTATGCCCCATTTAGTGGGGAAAAAAAAAATGCAAATGTTCACAGCAATTGTATTTGCTGCTAGCCATAGCATTACAACAAAAATTTAGTCTTAGAATTAAAATTGAATTGAGAGCAAATCCACAACTACGGCTCATTAGAGATATCCTACATTAGAGTGCACAAATTACAGTACAGTATAAAAGCATAATCAGAGGTTCTTTCACTGCTTGATAAAGGATTATTTTGTATAATATCTTCTGCTTACTTTAAAGCAGAACAACATAAATTTAGTGGGAACTAAACCAGCATAAATTAAAGCATATTACTAGAAAGAAATTTAAAACCACGTAGAAAAAAGAAAAAAAAAGGTAGGAAAGGAAGGAAATTTCCTTTTCTGCAAGGAAAGCAGAGTATTGCTATTATCTCTCAATCCCAGATTAGCAACAATGGTACATCAGATGCTTGTAAAGTTCTCTACAGCCTCTATAGTCCTTTCTTCTGTGACCACTAAGTTGCTCCTGTTTACTTTCAGACAAATTTCTGATTTTGAGCATACTGGAACATGCAACAGTAATGTAATAGCACAAGACTCCAAGCTAAAGCAAGACTTAAAATGCACTCCAAAGAGAGTTAATGAGCCCTGACTATTTAAAATAATGTGATAACCTCAAATTCAGGTTTACTAAGAGTTTTGGATATAAGATATGATCCACACATGTCCCTACAAGACACATAATCACTGTTAGCTTTGAGCAATTCATTAGATGCTATGAGGTTTTGAAGACCGGTGACAGCAGACTAGAACTGGATGCTTGAACTTGGAACCATGTGCAGATATCCACATGTAATAGACTCCACTACCTGAGAAAGAAATGCCTCCTACTCTGTGAATTATCCCTATATAACCATAATTTTCAGCCAAGTATGTTAAGGTAACTTAATTGCAAGACAAGTTCCAAGCCCACAATCTAATTCTCTGCCAAAGGCATCTTTACATCTCCTTTGAAGTTCCAGTGAAAGTTAAAGTTTAACTCTCCCCAGGATAAGCAACACTACACATGACCTGGCATAAAAGGCTGTGGTTCCATGAACAGTACAGTACCTGGACCCACAAACGTCTGGATCACTCAGCAAGAGTCACCTGATCTGCAGGCTGGTCACATCCCCCTGTCAAATCACCATAAATGACAATATCATGCCTATGGCAGTTCTGTGAGTCTATGACAGCTTTGTGTCATGCTCCTGTGAAACCCCCCCATCAATCTCACGTGAAAAGCCCTAGAAACAAGCCCCAGTATATCATTAACACCACAACCTAAGTTATTTTGAACAAGTCCATCTGGGTTTGGTTCTTACCCTCCAAAATGTCTTCATAAAGTGCATGTACTCCTTCTGGCACAATGACAGCCAAGGCAGTTCCACACAGCAGCCCAGCACCCAGAACAGTCACCAACTTTAATCTCTCCTGCAAGCAAGTACAAAACAAGTGTCATCTTTAAGAATGAAAATGTTTTCTTTACTCTCCTTCATGAACAGAGGTTGGGGTGGGGGGTGCGAGTGATCCACAAAACCTCTTGCTTATTTTTATTCAAGAGCGCCAGTTGCATAGTCCTGTATTTCTAATGATTAACTTTCTGAAAAGTGAACATATCCAGTGTCCAATGCAATCAGCTGAAGTAGGAAATTAAAGTTAAAGATGACCCATTTGACTGTTAACCTCAGACAAGAAACGAAAACATAGCTTGAAAATAGCAAGAATTGCTATATTTGGCACTAATGATTATTGGGGTCCAAGTCAGCCTCTGAAGGCCTGCAGAGACAGAGAAAGATTGAAGGTACCTGAATTTTGAAGCATGTTTGCAACTCTACGTTTTATCTCTACTCTGGGTTTGTTTTAAAATATATCCTTCCTACTAGAAATCATACTTAAGCATGCAAGTTCCCCTAAAATCTCTGCTAGGTACGGCACAGTGCAAGATAAATTGCCTGTTCCCAAAAAAAGTCAATCTAAATAATAAGAGAAAATACAAGAAAGAAAACTGAATTACCAAAGTAAGAACAGAAAGACAAGAGAACCAATAACGTAGATGCATCTACACATACAAATATATTGGTCAAGTATGAGTGTAAACTGCTAAGTCAGCTATATTTATTTAACAAAGAAAAGTTTTAGGACTACAGAAAGAAAAGAGGCAGATTTTATCGAGAAAAGCATCAAGAGCTCTACTTTCACCTACAGGTTTAACGAGACAGAATAAATGAAGTTAAGCTGTTATAAGACCGTTACATGATAGATGAACTATATTTCAGTCTCTAAACCAAACAGCTACTCCTGTGCAGAAGCTTGTCCTTAAAACTACCATACTTTAATGGCCTTCTGTTTAATAGGGTATCACTGAAGAACAGACTTTCTTTAAAAACATAAAACTGTGGATAAAAAAGTAATTTAAGGGAAAGATACTTTTTTTTGTACTTGAAAGATCTGATGATGTGTTTCATGTATTAAAAAAAATAAGGTGCCAGGTAAAGTTTTAGAACTACAGCATCACAGCACTTGCAGGCTGTCAGGTAGCTACAAAATACAGTAGAAGGGACTGAATCCCCAAAATAGGTGCAAAACCAGAATTATAAAAATAATTTTAAAAGGCTTACTCAAATGAGAGTTTGAATGAGGGAACTGCATCAGTCAAACTGATAACGGTGCCAATATACATTTCATGTCAATCTTTTTTTCTTTTTAATCTGATTAGGAGATGCATAAATGCAGACCAGTGCTTCTTGTTTTTACAACCATTTCTAAGCCTTCCAGTAGCCTTTAAAGTCTTTAACTCCTTTTAAAAGGCACTTAGGGCAATAGAAATTATATTCCACTCTCCAGGTAATTACAGACCATGGCAATCCCCTTTCCTGTCTGCAGAGACAGGTTTTTAAATGGATTTGTTACATAAATATTGCAAATTTGCAATTAAACAAAAAATACATAACCTTAGTATTATTATAGCCTAGTAAAGAAAAATGGTTTAGTTCATATTCCAAGAAGAATTTCTACAAAAAGATTAAAAAACACACAGATAAAGAGTTGATAAGTACTTGCTACTATGAGTAAGGGTTATCTTCCTAGTTATATTCTAATTTTTGGCAAAAAGCTTAGAGAGGTATCACCCCTCCCCTCATGCCTCCCAAACTGACTAAATTCTGTTTTACCAATATAAGAACAGTTTACTATTGCTTTTTGCTTCCTTGTGACTACAACATTGACAGGCTAACGTCAAAGTCACATACTGAAAACCCAGTTACATAAACATCTAATAGACTCTAAAATACAACAACTTGCAGAGGTTGTTTCTCATCATTTCTGTAACAGCCCTTATCATGTAGCAACCATGGGAGTTTAGATCCTCACAACAACTGCGTAGCATACATTTTGTGACTGACCATCATCTTCCTCTGTATACAATGAGATGTCTGGGTGCTACTAAAATACTAACTACTGAGGACCTGGATACAGAGGTCAGTGTTTAATTAACAGGAAACCACCTGTCACACACCCTTATTACATCATCCGTTATCCTTCATGCACCATAGTGACACATGTTGTTTAATCTCACCGAAATAGGCAACACTTTCATAGAAAAAATAGGAGGCTCTAGAGAGATGCACAACCAGTTTTCTGAAAGCAAACCCAGTGTAACCATGCAGAAACAATTAGAGCATTGCTGGGGAAAATTCAAGTAGTAATGTGCAAGAGATGAAAACACCTGTAGAGTTTCCACAAGTATGCATAATATGCTGGCATATGTAACAATTATATCTGGTAAATTGTTATACAGTGTCAATCTACATGAAAAGATAATCTTCAACACCCACCATTAATAAAGACGTTTTGCAAACATACAGTATCTTACAAGGAAAAACAAGATTATTTTTATACTGCAGCACTATAATCTCTTTTATATGCATACATATAAAAACACAGGGGGGGAAAAAGTGTCAGAAGTAATACTGTTTTATTACAACTGCAAATACAGAGTACTACTTGCTTTCATTTGGGCATCTGTGAATTTTAAAGATCCATCAAAATAATACACACTAGCAATTTACTGTTTCAAGAGAAGTCTCCATCTCCTTTTTGGTACAAAATACTCAGACACAGTGAACACTGCAATCTAATAATTGCAGCCTACCCAGACAGGCAAAAGTCATCTAGTTTGATCCAAGAAATCAAACTATTTCAGTTACAAAACCAATTGTGTCTCTCTTGTTAAAGAACAAGAGCAACACACTAAACAGTTAAAAACACCCATGGAAAAAAAAAAAATCTTAAAATTCCTCAAATTAGCAAGCTGTTCCACAGCTCAGTATTTGCTTTAAATCTGCATGGTATTGAAACTCTTTTTTGGACCTAGCAAAAACTCGCACCTACTTTCAGCAGCAAGCAGTCCCACTCCAGCCAACACTGCCTGCCTCTGTTACACCAGCAAAAGATTCAAACTGCTAGTTTTTTTAATTTCATTTTTTGCATTTAGGCTACAACATAGCAGATAGCCTCAAGAGCTGGCATAGTGTTGTTTCCAGACCAAAGTCAGCCCAACAGAATACTGTAAATCAGGATTAAGCTGAAAGGGTAGATCTGCATACAGAAATAAAGTGAAGCTCTGTTCAGTCAGTACCTTTTTACCATCAATGTTTAGTTGTACCCAGCTTTGCTGGAGTTTTATACTTTCAAGAATATCCAAATCTAAATAAAATAACAGAAACCAATATGAAACTGGTTCATCAGAAGGCAACCAATATGTTCCACAGCAAAAACACTCATCTGAACAAATGTATTAACAGTAATGAATAATTTTATTTTTCTCCAGCATCTGGGGTACATTTTGTAAAACATTCATTTTTGTTTTCTAACCATTATAAGTGGCCAGTGGGAGGAGGCATTTTTCCTCACCAAGGCCATCTACAAAACTTTTTGCAAATGATAGAACGCATAGTCCAGTCAAATGACTGGAAATCCATTTGAAATCGTCCATGCTGCACAGGCCTAAGCAATCATTCTTAAACAAAACAATTCTAACTTCTAATTACACACTTCCAGGGTTAGCTAGTATTTGCACATAATTTGCAGAGATTCAGCTCTTCTTTTAAACCCACATAGCATGTGGAACCTTAAAATATCTAATTAAAGTGTAAAACTGAATCAAGAATTTCTGAGAGTTTAAGATACCACAATAAACATGACTGCACAAGCATGTACCATTGGTTAAAATACTGCACACACAAAAGGCTAATAAACATGTGATTACTACTTGTGCAGAGTGTTATTTTTGGATCCACAACAGATGTGTTGCCTTTCCTGCAGCTGTTGGAAGCCCCAAAAGGTTTAGGAGCCCCCTGATTTGACTATATAAATATAAAACACAAAAACACAGATCAAGAACTCTACCTTCAAACACCACTAAATATAAAGTCAGAGACAACAGGTGACCATCAAGCACATACACGAGGAAATGCAAAATTAAATAAAAGAGACAATGCTAGCATGCTAGGCAATGTTCTCCACAAATTTGGAAGAAAATCCTTTGTAGGCTTCAGGGCAAAAGTGAGTTTTGAAGAGCTAGACAGTGGAAGCAACAGCATTGAAGACATGTAACGGAAGGCCCATCAAAGCATCAGATGAAGCACCGGCAAAGCAGAACTATGCTAATGTTTATGTGAAGACTGAAGAATATATGGTCATTTAGCTGAATTGCACTGTAACCAAAACAAACAGCTTTTCCTTCCATGCTGTTCAGAGTCTACTGCTCCCAAAACCTCCTAATAATAATGGGACCAAAGGACAGGTGCAACCAACTCTCTGACTTGATGGAAGAACAAGTCACATCTCTCTTCTAGCACTTTGCTTTCCAAAAGCAGCGCTGCTCCCAGTAGAAATGGGAAACCCCTCATAAGAGAGCTCTTACTGCCTTAGAACAACTAAATTCTCACTACACCACATCCGTATACAACAATCCTCACTTAGAAGCAGAGAAAACCCTTGGGCATCAGAGGATATTAGGGAACTTCCAGAGACTGTAGCAATCACCTCAACAATCATCTCTTAGAAGCACCCAAACACGTTCACTTCTGAACTCCTGTACCACTTGGAAACTCAATCTATGAAAGTCTCCCTCTCCTATAACAATACTTTATGTACCCAAGATATTTTTCCAAAAGAATGCCTTGAGTTCCACGGGACAGTAACATAATTTGAAGTTGTGTTGTAATCAAAGACCTAAGGTTTAATTTCTAGCAGCAAAAGCTATGAACAAGGCTGTGAAACAAAACAAAGCTTTCTGAGATCATTCATGGAATTATTTTTAAAAGCCCTAATTTGAGTAGCCTATAAACATGTAATAAGTCAACCTCTGACTTCAGTAGTTTCTGACACAATCTTCTAAGAACACCTATGTCCAGCTGCTTTCCACCACATGCTGAGACTTTATTTCATCTGTAACCAAGACGGTTGGATCAGATTTGCACATTTAAATGGCTTTTATACACACTGTAGAATAAGTATAATTTTGCACTGCGATTTTGTATTAATATCGCACTCACAACTTCCTTAAAAATCTTTTAAGGTTACAACATCACCCAAAACAGTACTGCCGTACTCGAAAGGGGAGAGCACTAACTCCTCCTGGTAGATCTCTCCATCTAGTTTCCGCTATTCTTCCTTAGCAACCAACGAGCAGTTTGGAGAAGCTGTCTTACCTCAGAAAAATTAACTGCCAAGGGTATAATTCCTGCCACATAGCAGGCGACCAGCATGGCCAGAGACAGGAGGCAGATGGAGCGGAAGTCATCCATTTCGCTGCTTTCTGTCCGGTCCCTTAAAGTGAAATTCAACAGCAACTTTTCCACCTCGCCCCGCACGCCTTAACCCGTGCAGACACCGAGCTCCCAAGAAAGGCTTGCAGCCATGTCTGTCTTGCCCGGCGGTTTCGGCCGGCTCGGCCCCCAGCGGCAGCCCCTCCGAGCCTGGCGTGCGGCAG